ATTTTAAATAAGTGACACCATATTGCCATTATATATAATGGGACCTGGGCATCCACAGGTTTTGGTATCCACAGAGGATCCTGGAACCAAACTCCAGCAGAAACCAGGGGCCCACTGTACTAAGATATCTACCGCTAATCACAATGCACCACCCTTTTAATGTAGATGCCAAAGTACACAATACTTCACGGTAGCCTTCTGCTTTAATGCAGAAATTGTTTGACAATGGTATTTCCCAAATTCCAGAGTGTTAAACAGATCAGCTTGCTGCTATAAACACAAAAAAAAGAACTATAAAGAACTTTGGGGGAAACAAATAAAGGTGAAGCACATTCTGGCCAACAAAAGTTTGTGCTACCCATGACTAAATCTGCTGCCCTCAAAGTGCTATAAAAATCTGTGTGTGTGTGAGTGTCCAGTTTTTCCCAAACATCTGTAACCTGAAATTATGTCCAATAAAATCTAATTTATAAAGTGCCTTCCACCCTCACTGGAAACATATCCCAGAACGGCTGATGTCAGTTTGAGAAATAAAGCTATTTACAGAAGAACTGTTTATTCATTTGACAGATAATGTCACAAGATACTACAACATCTACACTAGATTCTATCACACAAAGGGTCAATAGTATTTTCTAACACTGAAATACAGAGAAATGTCACAGATGGAAATCTGGCTAAATATTTTCTCTCTGAATACACCTGGATGCTTGAGGTATGAACAGATGGATTGCATTTGCATGTTGTTAATTCTGGGTCTACTAGGATGTAAATGCTTAACCACAGTAACCAATTTCTATCATAGTTCCTTAGTCCTTTCTCATTTTTTTAAGACACAGTGCTGAAAACTACAGTTGAACACACTTCCTCATTTTTGCAATCACTTTAAGGAAAGCATTCACTGCGGTATTTGCATAAATCAAGGAAAAGACAACAGCCATTGTATGAAACCACTTCCTGGTACAGATAAATTTCCAAACTGTACAAACTCAACATCACACCCATCATTTTTTTATGACTTCTCTCCAATGACTCACTTGTTCTTCACTAAATCAGTACTGCAGAATGTAATTTCTTTCAAGTTCAGTTTTTCATAACCCGGCAATCAGTGCCTACCTGCATGTTGCTAAGTTATGAGTAGGATAATACTGGTTATCCGGTATCATGATATACTGGTTTGAGTGCTGCACTATGACTCAGGAGACCAGGGTTCAAATCCTTGTTTGTCCATGGAAACCCACTGGGTGACCCCATGATAGATGTTGCCACAAATTGGAAAAAACTTGGAAGGCATACCACAACAACAACAAAATTATAATATTTTCTCATTAAGTAAAAGAAAGCCAACTATGGGCCTTTGCAGACTGCCAGAAATAGTGCAAATTGAGTCCACTTTAAGGGTTAGGGTTAGTGCTAGGGAATCATGGGAATTTTTTTTCTGAGACATTGAGCCTTCTCTGTCAGAGAGCTCTGGTGCCACAATAAAATACAGTTCCCATGATTCCCTAACCCTAACCCTTAAAGTGGACTCAATTTGCACCATTTCTAGCAGTCTGTTATGCCTCCTTGCTTCTAAACATGCTTGCAATTTTTTATCCTCTAAGATCTGAGAAGAAAAATATTTCTTCTACCCAGAAGTAGAAGGTATTTCTGTAAGGATGCAAATAAAAGTTTGGGAGAATGTGAGAATGCAACATTCAAAGGTAATTCCATCAATGGTCTTCACCCAAATCAAAGTCACAGGATCATCTCTGAAGAAGCTGTATAAATGACAGTTAAACCAAAAGTCCACAAACAGTCCACAAGCCACTGGATGAAGCAAAAATGCTACACGGGCCGAAACGAAGGACAGTGGGCCCTTGGTGTTTGCTGACCCCTCATGGATACCAAAATCTGTGTATGCTCAAGTCCCATTAAATACAATGGCATACTAAAATGGTGTATCATATAAAATGGGAAAATCAAGGTTTGCTTATTGGAATTTATATTTTTTAAAAAAATATTTTCAAGCCGTGGATGGTTGAATCCATGGATAAAATATCTATGGATACAGAGGGCCAAATGTATGCCTATACCATCAAACAGCAGAACAATAATTTTATCAGAACACTGATAAATTTTAGCATACTGTACTGTCACAAACTGCACAGAAAAATAAACAGATTGTACAGTGGAGAAATTAATCACCACTGTTTAAGAGTAGGCAAACATACTGTACCAGAGAGATGAGAGCTATGCAGTCCTCCAGATGTTGCAGGACTGCAATTTGCAATGTTCTTCTTTAAGCTGGCAGTCCTTGCTGGGACTTGTAGTTCAATAGCATCTGGAAAGCTGCACAATTCTCACCCTGCTCTAAATAGATGCAACAGGAAATTTACCACTTTTCCAAGACTTTCCTTCTGGAAAAAAAAATCCTCTGCTTGCCCACTGTCCACTGACCGTTGCCCACTGTCTGTTAAAACTCTGAAACCATATATACCGTATTTTCCGGCGTATAAGA